GCCAGGGCGAAGCAGCACCAGAGGGAGAGGCTGAGAAGAAGGAGGAGTCACCAAAGAAGGAACCAGAAAAGAAGGCAGGATTCATCCAACTTCATACGCTTTTACTTTGTCAAAGCTGAAGGCCTACGGAAGCACCAGCTAGAGGTCCTGGTTTGGTAAGCCCTTAAATACTGCTTCTCGGGATGCAGGACTGAAGCGTGGATGGATTCCTCCCTTTAACTTTTGCAATTTGGATGCGTACAGGCTTTTGGCTTTTGGGGAGTTGCAGACGATGCGGTGATGCGGTTAGGGATGGGAAAGTCTGGAAAGGCAGAATAGAAGATTCAGATCATGCGCTTTCGAGGCTTTTTCACTGAGGGATCGCCCCAGCAAGATGACCACATGTTGGTGCTATTGACAGAGATGGACACACAGCTGAACGGGTGTGATTCCTCCTCATGACTGCGGGTAAATTGTTAATGATTTTGTGCGTTTTTCCCTCAGCCACTGTGCCAGGTTGAATGGGTTGAAGTCATCAAAAAGCCGCATGTCCGACATGGAAGTTTGGGACTGGCTCTGGGTGTGTGGGACTGGGTCTGGCTCTTGTGATGTAGCACTGTGTGGGTCAAAAAGAATCACCTGCAATAGCCGCCCATGAGAATTGAACATTTTGGATGTGCCCTGGTGAGAACATGGGCAGCCTCACAGGCCGCCAAGGTGCTTCAAAATGGCTTGCGAGCCTGAGCCCACTCGAAACGGTCACTAGCTCACTGTCAGCTCTAGGTCACTCTAGGCCATGTGCTTTGAACCTTTGCGATTTGCGAAGGTTCAGTGTGGACTTGGTGGATTTGTGAGGACCGGAGACCCCTCGAGACGAAGGGTTCAGTTGACTTGATCTCACATTCCCAGTGACTGAATGACTGACTTCCGCAGCCTATAAGATCCTTCCAACTCTCTCCGCAGCCTTCCTGCCCTAGGAAGAAGCGCACCAAGCGCACTGACATCAACATCATGTCCAGCGACATCTGTGGCCTTTCAGAGAAGACATTGCAAAAACAGCAGGCAGCTCACGCTCGTGCCGGTGCCGTGGCGTTTTCTTGCGGCGTCGCACAAGTGTTCTTTTCCGATCCCGCGTGGTTCGATTGTTGAACATGTCGGGTTGGTGCCAAGAGCAGCGAGTTTGTAGTACCACTTGATTTGATCAGTAGGAAGCGGAGGATGGGTAGGAGATAGAAATGGAGGACAGGGAGTAGGAGGACAAGGACTTACCAAGTTGATCAGTTTATTCCAGAAGGTCCCTATAAATCCATTTGTTTGGATGTATATAAGTTTATCCAGAAGGTCCCCAAAGAGATGTTTTCTGCCCAGCGCAGGACGAAGAGACGGCGATGCAAGCTGACATGAAGGCCGAAACAATCCATCAGTCAGCTGTTGCCACAATTCCGAAGACAGACCTGTTGGTCATGTCGATGACCACTGACTTTTGCCGAAGGAAATCATCGAAACCGATGAGAAGAGAAATGACCTCGAGTCCTACATTCTGACCATGCGGGACTGGATGGGATCGCCTTGTCTCTCAAAGTAGGAGAAAACCCTCAGGTGCCAATTACAAGGTCTAGCAGCTTTTCCTCCCGTCCTTTTCGCCTGAGAGACTCACGGATGACCTGGGACCGTGAAGAGTGCTTGGCTTTGGGGCTGTGAAGAGTGCAGTCCAACGAAATGAATCCAAATACAGCATCGCTGACAGGACAAGTGTAGCGAGGGTGGCCAGTACGGACCATTCATTAGCTCTGGAGACACTTTGCTGCAATTGGCCATGACTTTTCGGCATAGTTCACTATCGGGTTTTACAGCTTGCTATGTATTGTGCAGTTTTGGCGCTACGTACTTTGTGCCTTCTTGCTTCTTACTTCAGCCTAAGGATCGTGAAAAGCTGGAGTCGGAGCTCATGAAAGCAGAGGACTGGCTGTATGACAACATGGAGGCTACCAAGGCAAGCGATTCAGACACTTCCCGCACTTCCCGTGAGATTCGGAGGGTTCGATCATGTTCTATCCAGGTCGGCGTTCGATCGGGGGGGATGGTAGATCAACCATTTCGTTAATCACTTTCTTTGGGGGTGTGTTTCGGTGTGAAGATAACAATTCCATCTATTAGGGCGATTTGGGTTTGGCTTATAGAACCCCCACACTTTCTGGACATTTGCATTTTCTGGCGACTTTCCCGTGGGGCCCTTCGAATACCCTTCAATGTTTGCCAGTTTGTGGTTTACAGGTTGTTGTTCTGTTGTGGTATAATGTCAATCTTGCACGCGGTCGCAAAGTCGCAAAAAATGCAAAAGCTATTTGGACACAGGATATCTGCCTGACATAAGTGGCCCAGAGTAGTAAATTAGATGATCCCCAGACTGTACCTGTTCTTTCGGGGGCATTTATCGGAGGAGGGTGCCAAAGGTCAGATCGGAGTGTGCCTCCAGTGGCATCTGACTTTGGTTGACCTGACTACTCAACTGTATTTGGGGCTGCTATATAACAAGCTTGCGTCTTCATGACTCAATGTCACTCAAAAAGAACATGAAATGAAACACTTGGGACCTGAGGCTAGCCAGTTGCCATGAAATACTTGGGACTTTGCTTCGTCAGTCGTTTCTTCCACAGTGAAAGCTGTGGCAATCCACAGAATCCACATCACACACTCTGCAGGTTCAGTACATCGAGATGCCCGGATGCATTAGAACGGCAGGCTGATGTCCTCCACAATGACAAGCAGTGACAAGCATGGATTTCGGCCTAAAAGACTCGAAGATAGGTGAGTGTACAGATCAAACCTATTGGCACTCAAACTGAAGGGACGCAGATCAGCAACCAGACCATTCTTTTTGTAAAGGTGGCTTTGACTGAGGGGAAACATTTTTCCTTTGGAGTCACAACCAGTCACCGGGGCCACCAGGAAATCCACAGAAATGGATTTGGCGGTGACCAATCCACAGGAAACCCACAGGAAATCCACAGGTGACAACCATGGTTTCCCGTAATCCAATGACTTGAGGGTTAGGAACATCCGACCAAACACCAGCCCACACAGTGAGGACCAAACCTTCTTCGCGAACCAAAGGGGTTCTACCTTTTGAGGAACTCTCAATGATTTCTTTTGGACACCTTGAAAAGCGATTTACTCTGCTTCGTCCACTTTGTGCTTCGTCACTCTCCAAGCACTTGGGGTTCTCCGCTCAGAAAGCACTGTGCGACCCCAGGAAGTTGGACGAACTCAAGAAGCTTGGGGATGGGCCCGTCTTCCGATTCAAGGAGTTCCCCGGGAGTCCGGGTCGGACCGGGCTTCGTCACTTCGTCACTTCGTCCTTCCAGGCGTTGTCTTTTTTCTTCGGGTTGATGGAGGAAGAAGGGCTCGTCCTGCTCGGTTTGTGAGCCGAAGAGATCCCTCGCCCACGCCCGGAACTCGAACTGGTGCAGTCGCTCGAACGGAGCGAAGGATTGACTGGACCACGAAGTTTCCATGAAGTGGTCAAAGTAAAGGGGCTCTTGTTGGGGATCAAGTGCCAAAGCCCTTTTATGATTTTTACGATCTTTTACGACAGTATGGCCACACAGCTTTGCCAGTTGCAAAGCGACTAGTGACTAGCTGACTGGCTTTGAAGTTCATTTTGTTTGCCTTGAGCTGTGACAAACAGGTTCCAACGTAGCAAGAAGTTTGATGATCACAGGAGGACGAGGTGCGAGAAGATTGGGTGAATGCCGTGAAGGGCCGCACGCTCAGTTTGCCTTGTCGGCATGGATGCTCATTGGTTGTTTGATGGTAGAACAGCTTTATATCTCTATACAAAGCTAAAGTCAACTGGATTTCCCATTGAGGCACCATCAAAAACTACTACGAAGCCGCCAAGAACCCTGGCGAGACGTGCCTCGCGCGGGTATGGAGGAGTGATTTGTTAGACTGGTTTCAGGTTTGTCCGCACGGATAGGTAAATATGGGTACTTACGTCTTTTTCTGAGTTGGCATTTTCTCATCAACGCAGTTGGGAAATCGTCGATACCCACTTGCAAGCTAGATGTAGTGCCTAAAGGGTCAAAGGATCAAGCAGGTCTGGCCAGCTGTGAAAGCTCGCACGGCGCTGACACCTGTTTTGTAGATTTTTGTAGCTCCTCACCGACAAGGGTGTTTATCGGACCGGTGGCAGAGGTACGGCCACATCTCTCCGGACAAGCTAAGCAATATCATCAAGGAGTGCGACTCCTTAACAGCTTGGCTCAACGAGATGCAGGCAACAAGACCTGACCGCGATGTGTGGATATCTTTATGGTAGAAAAGAAGACCTTGCTTCACTTGCTTCTGATCAATCTTGTTTCCCACTTCAGACTGCATAAAATAGCCTGCCGCTGCTGCAACATGCCTGAAGCTTTTAAAGTTTATAAATTTTCTTTCACAGTCAACCAAGCAACCGACCCAGCTGGGGCTTGGACCGAGAGAAACCTTGTGAGATGCCATTGGTGCTTGTTGCAGAACTCTTCAGCTATTCCTCTGGTGGCATGCAGGCCAAACAAGTTGCCACCCCCAAGCATGAGAAGCCTCCACTGAATCTGGGCTTTGATTATTTTTTTGTGCTGACTATAGCTGTCAAAAATCTTAAGCGGAGGCGAACACGGATTGACACACGTGTATATAGGTGGAAATAGCCCTTCTGGAGCAGACCTTTGACTCGTATACAACTCCGTGGGTTGGGTTAAATCTTGTTTGAGGTTTCGTTCTTCGTTCTTGGGCGTTCGCTCCTTCGTTTGTGTCGCTTGTTGATGAACCTGGATGCCCAATCATTGTGGATCAAGCGGCTGGAACCTGCTCAGCCGCAGCGACACCGAACCGCACCTGCACAGCAGGTGACACAGATTTGATTTGGCAGTGACGATACTGGTTTCTAGATTGGAGCTAAATTAAGCCAAGTGGCTGTTGATTCACACATCCAGGCAACCCAGCGTACCCATCGAAAATTTGACAGCCTTTACATTTGAGAGGTGAGTTTTTGAGCTGTGCGTTTCACTGCCGGTTTCACACTAGAGCCTTGGGCGATGTTCAAACAAGTGTTGATTTTCTTGGCACTGCTTCGGGTGTCAGTTGCAGAAGGTGGGCAAGAGCAATTCGCCGAGTCAACATGTGAAGAAGCTGATGATCTACGATTGTCATTGCTCCAGTCTTCTCTGCAAGTGGCCAAGGCGCCAGTGGAAAGAAATGTGAGCGCTGCACCAGAGCAACATGCGCTTTTCGATCGGTATGCTGATGCAGCCAAACAAGCCAGAATGATGGCAAAGAAGCAATTGAATTTCGTGATGCAGTTGGTGCTACCAACGGAGAAAACGGCCCTGAGTGGGATTCCGGCCTTGCTGGTTTTCATGCTGGCAGGCTTGGTGATGGCCCTCTTCGTAGTTCAGCTGATTGGTGTGATGTTCGAGGAGAAGAAATCAGCACCTTTTCGCCCGGGTGGTCCGACATATTCTCAATCCACAGCTCCAGGGACTTTGCCTCCCATGACCTTGCCAAACTCACCGCCATCGAGGGCTTCCATGGCCAGACCAGGTGCAGGCAGTGCGAGTGCTCCCTCCACCGTGAGTACGCTGCCCGTGCGGGGACACGCAAGTGCTCGGCCCTCCCATGCGCCGGATGGCGCTGCCATGTGCCCGGCGTTGATCTCTCCGTCTGCGGAAGCTCATTTCACCGTCCCGAGGGGGGATCTGAATTCGTTGAATGCAGGCACAGTTGGACCGGTGGCGATTCTTGGGGGTCAGACTGGTAAAGCGCTTCTGTATGCCAGATTCAAAGCGGATTCCAAAGAACGGCGCTGGCTCGAGCTGTCCACCACCGCCAATAGTCGCTTCCCACACTGCAGCGCTGGACCGATGGACACGGGGCTCGGGCAATCCAGAGTTCCGGTGGAAATCCGTGGCCCACGGGGGGATCGCTATGGCACCTTGCAAAAGGAGAGCTCTTTGTGGCAGTTGTATCGCTTTGAAGGACAGCTCGTGAAGAGCATCTCCACGAAGGCTGGCAGCTTCACTGCGACGGATGGGCAGCAGCATGTAGCGACGGGACGGGTCGATGATGAAACCTTTGAGGTGTTGGTGAGTCCTGGCAGAGATCCTCTCCTGACGCTGCTTTGCATGCTAGCGATCCTTTTAACCTCGCCAGGCGATGTGGTGTGACCAGCGGTCGGATTCCTTCGATCACAGACTTGAGACTGTGAAGGCGTGAACCTAAAAAATGCGGGATCACTTGTTGCTTCTCGGATTGGGGACAACAGTGAGGTTTGGTGTTGCCAGGCCATCCGGCCATCCTGCCTTCGGTTGAAGCGCTTAGGCTTTGAGGTCCATAGCCCATAGCCATCCCTTTAGAAGACTGTGAGATACGTACAAAAAGCAGCTGGTCGACTCACCCAAGGCTTTGTTCAGACCTGGAAAAGAAGAACCAGGAGCTTGCCAAATTTGCGGACGAGATCTTGAGGCCGGACGAGACTGGCGGCCGTACTCCGGAGACTTAGAACACGCAGATCTTGTTTTGCTTTAGAGCCATGCAATGCAACATAGGCATAGGAACCTTCATGTAGGAGCCACAGCCGGTTCTCGAAGCCTGTACAGCAACTTATCTTCAGCCGCCAAAGCTACTGCTACGAATTGCCCTCTGCCAGTTGGGAAGAGGTCTTTTCTCTCCTGCGTGGTCTGTTTCGTTCCTGCTTTTTTCCGACATGAGCTTGTCCTTTGTCCTATGGGGCCTTTATCTCGTGCGTTTGCCATTCGTTTTCGGCCTCAGGGAGCCAAAGCCCAAGCCTCCTGAGCCACCGGCGGAGACCAAGCCGGAGGCATGGTCGAGTTGCCGGAACCAGCAGGTGACAAGCTGGCACAGGGGGACAGCCGTGATGGCAGGGGCTGGGGGTGGGTCAATAGTCTCAATGAACATCAGTTGAACGTATACAGTATAGATGCAGATGGGTTGGTAGGCCATAAGGACAATTGCTTAGAAGCCATTGCCCGGCGTGGAATATTAGGCTGAAGGGCAGGACATGTCGGACATGTATCTGTCGCCTGAATTGAGACCCCTCTTCGCCAGGAGGCTCCCAAGCCTGATAGCGAGCCTGCCAAAAGCCCCAAGGAGGGTGATGTCGCTGACGTGGATTGAGCTTCGCGGCAGCTTCGGGCGTGAAGCTAGACGCCCTCTTTTGCTTTGCATGACCTGTTGCCAAATCCCCTGCGTTAGACCAAAGCTGTTTCAAGAACTTGTTGGCTTGCTGGGGGATTTGCCTAGAAGCGTACGCGTGTTTTTCTTTTCCGACCCGAGATCCTCGGCCCTGTGCAGTCCTTGCAGCCCAATTCGGGATTCGCTTCGGTCCGGCGGTAGGTCAGCCCAACCCCATCCTCAGGGCATAGGTATAAGCAAAATAAAAAAAAGAACATCAAAAAAACATAAAAACAGGATCAAAAAAAAAACAAAAAGCGAATCAAACAAAAATATTCCTTGATAGGCCTCTTCTGCTGCTCTCCTGGCCTTGTGGTCTGCGGGTCCTCTGGTAATGTGGTCCCTTGGTCCTTTGGTCCCTTGGTCCTCTGGTCCACTGGTCCTTTGGTCCCCTGGTCCCTTGGTCCTTTAGACCACTGGTCCCCTAGTCCTCCGGTCTCCTGGTCCTTTGGTCCTGTGGTCCGCTGGTCCCCTGGTATCCTAGTCCTTCTGTCTCCTGGTCCGCTGGTCTTTTGCTCTCCTACGGCGCTCGTCTGTCGATCTCCTGGTCCCCTGCTTGCGCAAATAGAGGCTTGATTGCTTTCTACTAGAGGCAGCTCCCTGGGAAGAAAGTAGGTACCCAACGATAAGGTTGCCGTCCAGTCATTGAGTAGCCTACTCGAAAAATGGTTCACCAGTGGAAATAGCTCCCTACTAGGAGGGAGCTCCTGGGGAGGTACACTCTCCTCTACTACCCCAACCATCCTCAGTGGGCTAGAATATTTTTTTTTGATTACCTTTCTATTTTTTTATTGATCCCCGTTGAATATTTTTTTTTGATCCCTTACCCCATCCTCAGCCCTTGAGCCCAGCCCTCGACTCGAACCCTCACGTCCCATCCGCGTCCGGCGGACCGCTCCGGCGCTCACGGCCTCGAAAAACCGTGCGTGCGGCGCAGTGGATGAATCCAGCGCAGTTTTGGGCCCCCGAAGGGGCGGCGCTCACGGACCCCGGAAAGGTTGAAACGAGGGGGTTGATTGCGATTTTGTTATGAGCAACATTCAGCAAAGAGGTTTGGCATGCCACGCCATCACCATCCAACATGGTTCCAGTCCAATGCCACGAACCATTCCAACATGATTTGGAAGAGGTGCAACTTGTTCTCAATCCAGTATGGGTACCAAGGAATGCTCTCAAAGTGCCTTTAAGTGCAGATGTTGTATAACAGCAGCACCCCTCGCTCAGCCTTGAGCCTTCAGTGAGGGCAAATGCAGAGACCAAGAAACCTCGCCTTCTGGTGGAACAGCAAGTTCTTCAAAAAGGAGCGAAGTCAGTACTTGCGCTAAACCAAGACCTCAAAGGGGAGGAGGAACACAACCATTCATGCGTTTTGCATTGCCCATCATATCTCCCATTGGCCCAAAGGCCCCAAGTTTGCTCGATACGGAGGTATGCCTGAGATAGGACATACCCATCCCAAGAGATTTTTGGGACGTACTGTACAAATCCTCCATTTGGATATGCGGGTTTGATTGAATGGTTTGCGTGGAGCACGTACTCGCTTTGGTTTTGTGTGCTCAGCACGCCCAGCTAAGATCCAAAGAGTTTCGACACCCGTGACCAAGGCGCGCGAGCGCGAGCTGACAAAGGGCGGCGAGTTTCGCCCAGAGGACGCAGATGGTGTTTGCCTGCCTCCATACAGGGTGGGAAGGAACTTATGATACGGTGACACTTGGAGGTTTAACAGTAATGGATACAACATGGCGGGTTGGTTGGAACTGGTGCACAGGACGGCGTGTTCACTTTTTGCTGCGTGTTCAAGACGTGACAGGACGCCCTGCCGCCGTGGACTCCGTGGTGCATTTCCAGGACTCCGTCCGAACGGCTCAGGGCGAAGGCGTCGAGCGGTCGAACGGTCGAACGTTCGGCGAAGCGACGCGAACCTCGCGCCGCTGTCCGTCCGGGCCCGAAGTGGTTGACGGCTGAGGTGCAAGTGGTGGAGTTCTCCCGACTCGTGGGTGCGGGTGGAGGGGTCCGCTGCTCAGGAGGGAGTGGGTGGGTGGGGTGGGGTGGGGTGGGTGGGTGGGTGGTGGTGCTTTTGAAGCAGGCTTTTGTTTCAACACTGAGTGTCTCAAAGATGAGGGACCATTAAGGCAAAGTAGTAGAGAACTCTTCACTCCGTTGGCTTTTTTTGTAGCGATCCCTCTCGACAGAAACCTCTCTCTCTCTGAGCTTCGTTTGAGCGTCCGAGGTGCCCAGCGATACGGGAGCCTCCCTGGGATTGGGCCTCCAAAAACGCATGGCTGGGAGGACTCGGATGGGAGAAGTCGGTCGTCGGTCCGTCCGGACTGGCGCAACGTCGTACCTGCTTGGGCGGCTTGGGAAGGTGCGAACGACTGAGAGAGTAGTTACTAGAATTCTACTAGAACGCTTTATAGGCTGTTACTAGTAGCGATGGGCTCCAACCTAATAGCGATGGCCTCCACCGTGCGTAGCTTCTCGTGGCCTCCGAAAGTTCTTCGGTGATCCGCCAAAACGACTTTAGATAGATTCGACACACACTTATGGATATGCGTACTGACTTGACAGCGGTGCCACACGCCAGCCTAAGAAACCCAAATCCTGAAACGTCCAGAAAAGTCCTAAAGGGCGAGGTCGGTCCGACAGGTTGACGGCGTTCCGTGCGTGACTGCAGCTGCATTAGCTCTTTACCAGAAGATTGGAGTGAAAGCTTGTCAACACCACAACCAAGCAAGTACGTCGGAGTGATCAGCTCCGATATCCTCCCAACTCATGAGCAGCTTCGTTGGCAGTAGACTCATGAGTGGGCTACTGCCCCCTGCTCATGTAAAAGAAAACAATTCAAAGGAATCCCTGTGACTACAAGGGGCACACACACACAGTAACGATCTCCCAGACCCCCGGTGTGGATTACGTGGCCTGGCAATCGCGTTCGAACATCTTCCAGAAAAAGGGCCATGGCTTCACCCTCAAAGATCCTACATCTTCCCCAAACACAACTTGACCCACAAGACAGGCCGTGCGAACTACATTCTGAGAGCCTTCAGACTCTGAGATGACGCAGCTGGCGACAGACCCAATGACCCGACGGCCAAGGTGATGGAACCCTTGGCAACGGAGCGGCCGGGTGTGGGGAAGTTGGACAAGGCCATGTTCGGTGGAGGGCCCGCGCGAGGTGAGCACGTCGAGTTCATCAAGATTGGAAGACGTGCGCTGTTGGATTTGTTGGCGGTGTGGGGCCTGCGTCGTCCTTCAGTTGACTGTGACAACCCCGCCGACCGGCTGTGACAGGCGGCAGAGCCGGTGCCTCCACAACGCCGCGCCCAGATGCTGCGAGAGGCCATGGGCCATGTCGAGTACTGCAAAGCCCAGCGGGTTCATCGCAAGGAGACAGCGGGTGGCATGCGATCGTCACGGATCGTGTGTTATGGCAGTTATGGGGATGACGGATGATTACGGTAGTGGTGATGGTAATCGATCAGTATGAGGCCATGATGTCGAAGGTTGACTTAGCCATCAAGTCACGTCTTTTTGAGGGGGAGTTGAGTTTGGTGTGGAACAATGTTCATCTCCACTTCTGCCGAAAAGCTTTCAATATCATTCACTCCAATCGTAGGCTCACCGACGGCCATGCAGGAGCTTTTGACCTTGCAGAACCACCGGGACGAGAACAACCAGACGGACGAGGCAGAATCTTTAGGGATGATTCTGCAGTGATGCATCCAAGCCAAGCCAATCAAGAAGAGATCAGCATATTTTAGCGCTGCTCGTTTGGATGTTTCTCAAAGAGTAGCACAACCCGGGAAGTCGTTCGACTGTTCAGACTCACTTGAAGCAACCCGCTAGGACTTCGAGCCGATGCCGGAATCACTCCGCGCGGCACGGAAGATGGCGCAGAAGTTGGCACGCGAGGTGGGTGTCAACAGTGGGGCAGGTGCAATGGGCAATGGGATGTTGGGATGGCAGTTCTAGTGGGGAGCCAGAAACGCTTTGGTTATGGCTGAGCCACTAGACGGATAGACATCAATAATTACTCTTGAAACATTTTGTGAGGATAGACTCATACACTCCTGGACACCAATACTATTGTCTAAATCAAATGACAACAACTGAGCCATGCTGTCAAGGATCAGATTCTGATCCTATGGAAAGTAGTGGCTCTTGGATCCTGTCCGTCTTTGTTTGTTTTGTTTTGGGTTTGGCAAAGCCACTTTGGCGGGTGACACGGCAGGTCGCAAGCATTAGCGCTGGCCTCGCAGGCTCGGGACCTCGGAACCACTTTGCTTGCTTCTTCTGACACGTTCTATCCTTGCAAACAAGAGGGCAGCAAGTGCCTTTCCAGGGGCGTTTCTGCCATGCGCATTCTAGTCATCCATTTGAAGAACTAGCCCAGACTCTTGATGCAGGTTCCCAGGGCAAGAAGACTGGTGTTTCACGGCTGCAGAGCAGGGTGGGTCGGGCTTTGTGACACATCGCTAAGGGAATACAGATCTTGTAACACATTGTAAGCGTTGTCGCTCTCGTTGCTTCGGTCTCCATCTGCAGGTTAGCCAAGAAGTCAGGCCATGGGGGTCTTGAAGGGAAACCGGGGCGCAAGGTCGGCTTGGTCGGCGGGGTCAGGAAATGTGCGTTCGTGGTTGCTTTTGCACAGTGCGAGGAAGTGAGGACCAATTCTTTGTAACTAAGCATCTTCACCGACACCCATTCAGGCAGAGAACCAAAGGGCGAGGGAAGGCTCGAGCCAAAGTGAAAGCCGAAGTGAAGCGCAAGGGTGGCCCCAAGGGCTCAAAGGCAGGCCGAGGCAGAGCCAAAGGCAAAGCCAAAGGCAGAGCCAAAGGCAGAGCCAAAGGCAGAGCCAAAGGCAGAGCCAAAGGCAGATGAGGAGCCAAAACGAAGGCGAATGCCACACCGATTGGCGCTTTTCTCTCAATGCCTGGAGTGAAACATCTCTCGGGCCTCTGCGCGAAACATCCGTGCGGGGCCCTTCTGGCGGATGCTTCAAGTCTCTCGGGATACCAAAAGAAGTGAATGCGGGCCGTGCTGGGCGGCCATGTGTGGGAAGAAGATGATCTGACAAGGCTGTACAGAAGAGGCACTTCCACCTGGTATTAAATCTTTGCTTTTCAGCAGCAAGTATTCTAGACTTGAAGGCTCAGGTAGGGCCCCTTGACTTAGGCAGCTCGGATTCTTGCTCGGACCAAGGCAAGGTTTCAACCAGAAGAACAAAGTCATCCAGTTCTGACCTGTATGGCCTGATTGATGATGGACTCTGGAAAAACTGGGCGAAATGCTTCGGTTGAATTCAACATTTGCAGGTTCACACGTGAATGTGCGCTTTGGCTCAGCAGCCATGACATGCCATGACACAACGGTGCTTTGATATAGTCCAGCCTCACTGATTCACTTTTGACATCAATGCGTTGGACTAGACCCTGACAAAAGTATCGCCCACCCCCCAGCCAGGCAGCTTGTGCCATAGTATCTTCCACAAAGCAAAGTTCCAACGTTCCAACCCACCCACTCTTGGACGGTGCAGCTCCGTCCACCAGCTCCTGGCCGAAGCTTCGGTCGACTTATGTGTTCGGTTCAGCCGAAGCTTGTTAGCTTTTTCTTAAGAAGTTTGTCACTTAAGTCCCCTCAAGAAGTTGATCATCAACAGATACCACTCAAGTCACCTTTTTACTTTTCGAAGACGTGGGGGCGGAGTCACCTTCTCCAGATGAGCGGAGAAGTGGAAGAAGGTGGAGGTGGGATGAGAAAGTTGGAAAAACAGCCCATTGATCTCCAGTGTGACCTGTCTATTCTACAACTCTTTTGGTTCGGTCTCGCAGTTCCTTTCTTGCAATCTTCTGCGCGCTGACAGAAAAATGTGAAGACATGTGAAGACCATCCCATGTCCTTTGGCAAGGCCGGCGGCGGCGGCGCAGCCGCTCGGGCAGGCACCACCACAAGAGGCTCCCTCGGGTTTATCGGACACCCGTCTTTTCCTTGGGGTCAATGGTTTGGGAACTTTGGTGACTTCTGAGGCACTCATGTTTGAAGTAGAAGATCCCCATGTTTTTGGTTCGCCGCTTTGCCCCAGGCGGCGCGAGAGGGACAGGGAGAGGGAGGCCGGTCCAGAAGCATGGATTCGGAATGGAGCAACAGGATAGTTATTTTCTGTTACTGTATAAGCTTGTAGCTTTGAGTAGCAATTGCATTTTGCTTCTTGGCGAGCATTTGCAACCCTGCCAGGATCCTGCAAGGCCCAGATGGGAGTGGATTCGTCCAAAAATGACTGTAATGGTTTTCATGGCTACGGCAAAACATCAATGAGTCTGACACAAGTCAATAGCTTGGTGTGAGAACATTTTGCTGAGTCACCAAGTATAGGTATACCATCATGGTATAATTGTAAAGTTGGTAAAAGGAGGTGAGCTTTCCAAAGAGGTGGAGACATGGGTGCTTTCCAAAGCGAAGTCCCCACGTGGGACCCCAGCCCATCACGCAGAATAAGCTTGGTGGTTGAAGGTTCTATCGATTTGGTGAATACCATGACTCGGCGGGTTGTTTGGGAGGCTAGCAGAGCCAGAGCCCAGAGCTCAGAGCTCATGTGTTTGATGCTCTCAATGCATGAGGAACCGAACTCCAAAACTTTTGGATTTGACCTCCCCATCATCAAGCTGTCAACATTTGTTCGTTTTGGCATGCACGGCATTTGGTGGGTCTCCTCCAGTTTGAACCGAGGCGTAGGCCACCCTTTGAGGAATATTGGTGCCACGGCAGCATTGCTGTCGCGGTGCGCTCATGCGCAGCATGAAGCTGGCCACCTGAAAACATGGGCTCCCCTCCATCCCGTGGCCCCATAGGCCCTACAGTGTTACAGATCTCAAAATACTTGACCACAGGCCGATATGGGCTTTTTGCGATTTTCCATGTGGGGGATAATTTAAGCTCCAAGCAATAGCAAGCAATAGCAAAACCTCCACTGCTGAGTCCCAACTGAGCAGCTGCAAAGGAATGCCATCATGAAATACTCAAAAACACTCTGCGATTTACAGTTATCAGTTAGGCTACACATTTGGACCAGCACGTTCAGTTCTTTTCACGAAAGCTAGCGAAGCTAGCTGGAGTTACTCTTGCGATAGCAAGGTTTCTTTCGACTGGGTGCAAATCCTAACCCCTGATTTTTCAGGTCGAAGACCCCCCCCCACCCCCCCC